ATTGTCAATTGTTCAGTATTATTGTCAGTTGTTCAGTATTATTGTCACTTGTTCAGTATTATTGTCAATTGTTCAGTATTATTGTCAGTTGTTCAGTATTACTGTCAGTTGTTCAGTATTATTGTCAATTGTTCGGTAATCTGACAGTTTGTGGGTAATAACTGTCTTTTAGTCTTTTGGTGCATGATGGCAGACTCCTGTATCGTCTGCCTGAGGGTAGTAGATGGAAGCGTCCTTGTGCTGGGTGGGTGTGGTCCTTAATGATGCTGCATGCTTTACGCAAACACCGGCTGTGGTAGATGTCCTGGATGGTGTGGAGGCTGCTACCGCTAACTACTAAAAAACTAATACCTACATTAAATTTCTGCAGTCCAGTAAGACTAAACTGCAGTATTTCTTGTAACCATTTAAGGCGGCAACCTGAGCAGAATTTTTTAATGATGTTTTAAAAATGGAATGAAACTTCCTCCCGTGATGAGTTTAGTCCTTCAGACTGTCAACCTGCAGTCAGTGCTCAGGGACGACTTTTCCCTCAGGTCCACCTCATGAGGAGCAGAGAGCTGACCTTAATCTCAATTTTGGGTTTTCTGCTAGGCTGTGAATCAAATCAACTCTGTCCCCATGCGAGTGTGTGCATGTTGGGTGTGTGAAAGTGAGAGTGTGTCTATGAGCTAAGAGGGCAACGCCATATGGCCAGACTGATCATTAGGGAGACTGCCGGAGGCAAAAAAACCGCTGTAGCTACTCCCCTTACACACATTTACACAAACTTCCATTTACACACATGCACTGAGCCGCTCGCTGAGTGTCACTACAGATTGTGCTTAAAAGCTGTGACGGACCAGTGCACTTAGCATCTCCTCACACACACACACGAGCACACACACTCTCCAGTGTCGTAATGAAAGTCCTCCATGTCTCCGCAGATGGTGTTTGTCTCCTAAAGTCTCCTTGGTGCCAGTAAACAGAGAGCAAGCTGGACCCAGGCAGACCTGCCTCTGGGCTATGAACATGCATCTGCGTGTGTGTGTGTGTGTGTTTAGGTGTGTGCGTGTTGACCTCCTCCATGTCCATTGGCATTTTTTTTCAATTAATCAGGAAGGAAGAGGAGAGGCCGTAGAAGAAATGAAAGACGTTATGAAGGAGAGAATGAGAAGTAAAAATGGAGAAAAAGAAAAATCTGAAAGTTAAAATTTATGAAATGTCAGTGTGGGGTGAGGGAGTAGATAGAGAAGATGATGGAGAGTATAGAAGTATAAGGAAAAAGGAAGAAGGAAATATGCAGCAAAACAAAACATTTAGGAAATATGAAAATATAGGTTGGAGGCAAAGACAATTAATAGAAAATGAGGGGAAAAACAATTAAAAAGTGCAGATGAGAGGAGTTAAAAGAAATGCATGTGAAGTTGTTTTTATTTGGCATCTCTATACTGTTTAGGCTAATTAAATTACATCTTCAAACAGAAAAGTACATTCATTCATTCATTTGACGCACACGTCACACTGCCGTATAAGTCGCATCAGTCCAAAAATGTCAAATAAAGTGGAAAAAAAAACAAATAAGTTGCTTTGTCGTATAAGTCGCATCTATTACGCATCACCGCTGACAATCCGGAAACGTGGGACGGTGTTGTGCCAAAATTGATTGGCTGCCAAAATGGTGGCCGCAGGAGTATACACGGGAGGACTCTAACAAGAATTTAACAAGAGTAACACTTAAAAACAATTATTTGTTTGTTCGACATTATAGCAAAGGTGTGTTTCAGTTGAACTTTTCCTTAATAAATGTAATTTAATGGTCAAATCAGCTGCATTTCACCTGGGCGACGCGGTGAAATGCAGCTGATTTGACATTGGCTCCAGGAGTTCTGGAGTGAGATGAAGGAGGCTCAGTATGGCAAGCAAAGTGTCTCATTAATATTCACTTTTTCCTAGTGATGAGACACTTGGCTTGCCATATTGCTCGAGGGCTCTCTAGCAGCTGCAAATGATAGTGTTTAATATTTTTCATGTCAGAATGAATGAAATCATCAGATCTCAGGCAAAAATTGGGTTATAAATATGGGGGGGAAACGCATATAAGTCGCTTCGGTGCATAAGTCGTAGGACTTGCAAATTTGTGCAAAAAGGTGTGACTTGTATGCTGGCAAATATGGTACTGTAAATATTTTAAATTGCATCACGTTAACCTTTAAAACAATTTATCAACAATTCAGGCTGAATTATAATTACAACTGAAAGGTGAGAGTGATGGGTAAATGTTTGAGAGGCTTACAGTCAGCAGTTATGCACAGGAACGTTGTGCAGGAGAGGGAGCGGAGCCTGAAGGCAACGCTGTAAATTTAGCAGTGGATGTATGTTCCTAGTCTCATCTGTGGCCAGCTTGTGAGTGTTGGTGGTGTCCTCTAGGTAACAAAGATGAAGAAGAGCACATCTGGACGGAGCTCAGTACAGCTCCTTTGTGCTCCTTTTGTGTCCGTGGAGGTGGTTTTGGCATCTAATCAGGATGCATGCAGGACGTTCAGCAGGTAGAAGAACCCAAGATAACACCACAGGGAAAAAAAAGAGCAAGGAAGGTTTTAAAATCCCATAAGTGTGGATTTATACAGCACATTTTGTGGAGGCTTAAATCTTTAAATAGTCACATTACAGGGAGACAATTTCTCAGTGGGGACAAAATGTCTTGAGGTTAGAGTAAGGAAAGATTGAGGTTATGGTTAGTGTTACCTCTCCAGGAAATTAACTTCAGGCTATAGATTGTTCTCTGAAGTGATGAAGTCAGAGTGTATATCTCTGTGTAAGAGATCGGGGAGGCGAAGAGGAGAGAGCGCCTAATGAGCCCCTCTGTGAGAGAAATGTTTGTTTTCTTCTCAGATATTTGGAATACAGAATCGGTTTCTGCTGTCCACAAGGGTCATCAGTGTGTGTGTATGGGGGCCGGTGAGACTGCCAGTCAAAAGTTGTTTTTACTGTCTTCAACCCTGGTGCAATGGTATTGAAAAGGTTTGGTTTCACAATAAAGCTCTTGCTGAAGTTTTTGTATTAAAAGTTTGCTTTTAATGTCTGAAGTGTCTGAACTAACCAAGTTTTTAATCTTGTAAAGTCAAAATGTAATGAAAAAGTAGATAGCGTGCTCTTAAATTGACCACGACCCCATTTCGTCCATCCAGGTGCCAATGCTAAGCTGCGTTACCAGATCACCTCAGGAAACACCATGGGGACCTTCGACGTGGAGCCCGAGGTGGGCACTATCTTTGTGGCTCAGCCTCTCGACTACGAGATGGAGCAGCGGTACGAGCTCCGGCTGGTCGCTTCTGATGGGAAGTGGGAGAACGAGACGCTGGTGGTGGTTCAAGTGGTGAACCGCAATGACGAGGTGCCGGTTTTCAGCCAGACCGAGTATCACGCCTCTGTGATGGAGGAACTCACCCAGCTTCCTGTGTTCATTCTGGAGGTCAGTCAATGAGTTTGTTTGGGACTGATATTAAACTGAAAGTTCCAGAAAGTTTATCAGTATGAGTCTTTTCTGACTAGATGGTATAATAGATACTACAATGGAGAATGCTCACTACAGTTGTATGTTCCACACTAAGTCATCAAGTCAATTAATGAAAGTTTAAAGAACATTTTTAAAGCAACCCTCACTGACCAAAGGCTGTATAAGGCTGTACATAAGTTAAAATAAAGGCATTGCAGGTGAACTACAATACTAAAAAGTCCATTTAAAACAACGTATATGATGTTTATAATACAAACATGCACTGTGCAACTAATAAAAAGGTTAATAATTAAATAAATACAATAAAATATCAAGACTTTCTGCTCAACTAGAACTAAAATCCAATGGAAACAAATCAGTTTTCAGCATGAAACCACCAATGGCCTGAGCATCTCTAAGTGGTGAGTTCTAATACTTTAAGGTACAGATTTTTTTTATCCATTGATTGATCAAAAATAATACACTTTAAAATACTGGTACATTACAAACAAACTGATGCAGCCACTTTGGACACAAACAGCTTCTATGACGTATTAAGGCCATGCTTCAACATTTTACCAATGCATTCTGGGTAACACTCCTGTGTGACCCTGCAATGGCATAAGCAGATACATAAACGTATTGAACCTTTAAGTCAATTGCATAGTACCTGGTTTTACAGTCACGCTTAAACATTTAACTATAACTTCAGATCCAATGTTCACTCATTCCAGATGACACCATTTAAATTGTAAACCCGAGAAAGTATCACCTTCAGTGTGCACTGTCAACACGTTGTGGCATGTTGTCAAAGTCTGAGTGTTTATATGAACTATATGTGGAAAAGTATCAGGTTTAGTGCAGGCAAATGTAATTCTGTTGGTTAGGCTTTGGGGTGAAATAGCCTGGAGCGACACCTCAGCAGAGATTCAATGTCCTCATACTAAAACGCCACACATGTATGACAGTGTTTAACACAATAACTGCTCAAAGAAGCAGCAAGGTTTGATAGAGGTGAAATAAAATCTGACAGGAAAAGACTGAAAAGTTGCCTCTGAAAAGTTCGACTTGACCTCCTTCCCCCTGTTGATCTCATCCACCTTTCGTCACACCTTTCTCTGGTAATACACAGTAATTTGCATGTGCTGCCAAGCTAAATAAGATTATAAAGGTGGAGGCGCGTCTAGGAGCGGAGGGAAGTAATCTCTGTCAGAGGCGTATGTGTCAGAGTCCTCAACCAAGGGCCTGTTTCCTCTCGCCTGCTGGAATTGATTTGATGTGCGTTTGGTTCCTGTCTAATGCTTTCAATAGTTTTTTCTGGCGCACAGCGGACGGGTCCTCCCTCAGCACACACCACTCTCAGCCTCGTGCACTAATACAATTCAGTGGATGGTGAACGGAGGAGAAAATCCAATTTGAAATGAATATTTGTGACTTCACCTGTGCGGCAGCCTCCTCTGTGGTGTCACCACTGCTCATCTTCAATATTGCGTACCTGCATCACAATGTCAGGGAATGCAAAGAGCCAACATGGGGGAGGCAGCCTCGGAATGGAGGGCAGGGGGACTTCAAAGGCTCCTGTAAACAAACCCTCTAGCGAGAAAAGAGGAGAAGAAAGGCTAAAAGTGTACTTTTCTTGCTTTTGTCGGCATGCATTAACTTTTAATTGCATTGTGTGTCTCGGTGACAGATGTGAGAGCTTGTCTTGTTGCTGCTGCTCTTGTCCCCGTGTTCAGAGCGATAGCAGAAAGGCAGGTTAATTAAGCAAACAGGACAAAGCAACAGAGAATTGTTTGTGTGTTGTGGAGCCGGTGTGTGCAGGGGCAGCTGCTGCATGTCCCATTTGCAAAGCTTGACGTTCTACATAATGAAAAAGCAATTTAACTTTTTTGATAAAACGGTGGGAAAAAGAACGACAAGAAAAAAAAGTTGGTTTAAGAAAACAAAATAATTGTGTTCATAATTAAGATGAAATGGCAACAAGACACCTTTAACTAGAATGTTTCAATAAACTGGACAGAAAACAACTACTTTCTTCTGCAGATTTGATAGAACCATGTTGGTTTCCAATATAATTTTCAAGGTAATTGTTCCTTATAAACAATGTGGCTGAGTGGTTAGAGCAGTCATCCTCCAGTGCGAGAGTTGGGGGTTCGAATCTACCAGCAGTTACATGTTGAAGAGCTGAGTGAAGCTGACACCCCACCCACTTCCAAAATTAAAGCAA